GTCAGAACAGTCCAGACGATGGGAAAAATGTGTAAAGGTGAGGCATGGGTCAACAAGTGAAATGAATCATGAATCATCGGCGGACGGAGCGTTCTCGCAGTAGGCGGTACTTACCACATAAGATCATAACACGATTCAACGGAAGCAAAAAGGCCAGGGAAAGAAATAAACGAAGCCGGAAATACGTAAATATGTCGAAGCTCCGCCCACAATGAGCGGAGCGTGCATTGAAAATCTTTTCACATACGTTCTACAAGGTGGGAATTAAGAAATTGGAGGCTTCACTAGAAGTTTGGTCAAACCTCGGATGTGGGCGAGACTTGCACTAAAGTGAGCGGGGCTGAGATCAAAAATTCATAACTCTGTTCGGAAACATTCTAGGGTGCGGGCAAAAAGTAGTAGAAGGTAATAGAGCAAATAACATCACGCTCCAAAAGCGGGGTTGGAGGCTAGAAAAGGCCCGTGTTCAAAATCCAAGACTGGGCAGGGCTTGCACCAAAGCAGGCAGGGCCAGGATCCAAATCTGTTTCAAGATTCATAACTGTGCTCAAGTATGTTCCAGAGCGCGGAAATCGATCGTTTTGCAAAATGCAATTTAAAAAAAAACCCCCCAAGCGATGTAGTTCATTGAGGCAGACAGTAAATATTGATTTTTCAGATCACCGGATGTATCTATTCGACCCTCGTTGTTGTTTGCACATTGACGAGTTTCGGCTTGAATGTGAGACTGTATATTGAAAGGCGCAAATTATTGAAAGAGGGGAACTTTCCAACTAGTCGTCATGCTGAGAAGGTAAGGTAACCAAGTTTTACGAAATCCCATTCAGCAAGCTGTCCATGCTTATTGCAAAAGACCCAATTATGCCTCATATCGGCTCCACCTTTCCAGCTATGCGCCTGACATCACTTGGAGCTTCTGAAATCCTCAGACGTGCAGACGTGCTCTATGATGATCTCAATACACTCTTAAAATTGACATAATCGAGCTTTCACGAAAAATTTATGCTTGAAAACAATTCTCAGGGTTCATGTGTCGAACAATGTTCATTTAAGGGCCTGTTAATATATACAATTACCGCTTTCATCTCGATGGTGGTGATGAGCGCAGTAGATGCGCTATTTGCAGTCGCTTCTGCCACTCACAACCGCGAACTATTCACATGGGGGAACGATCATGTAAGTTTTCCATCCCATCGCTTAATCAATGTTTATACTAAGCTTTTTTTGGCAAAATTTTGTATTACGAATGTAATATATACCTAGTCTACCCGTCTAGAGAATTGGGACCACATTATTTCTCCGTGGTCAAAATGCTGCACGGGTTAGACACGCACGAGAGAACAGGCGCCTATCAAACTGAAAGCTACACCTTCCTATCTTTATAAGAATCACTAATCCTGTCTCACAAGGATGGCGAGTTATGGACAAACTTCGGCCTCAGACGGGACTCCAACCTGTACTTGTGCTTTCCGAACAACGTGATTTTTCTTTCCTACACTACCAAGGCACTACTCGCTACGACTCAAGCCACTTGTGCTACCCGGGCACCAAGCTCTTATTCGTTACACTACCAAAACCCCGTTTGCTCTCACTTCTTTTCCATCATGCGAGCCTTAGCGGTTGAAGGAAAAATTGCTGTGAGGTAAAGCACCTATTTACGAAAGGCTGATAAATCCTCGCGAAGCATTCGCTCTCAGAGTTGTATAGAAAATTAGTTGGGCCGAGGTTGCACCCAATCGCACACGCATGGTCACGGGCTCAGATCTCGGATCAATATCCGCCTGGGTGGGTAAACGAAATTAATTAACGCCCAGAGATTTTATCCTGTATCCTTTATTATAAAATAGTGAGAGAGTTTTCGTCTCTTTAATTTTCCCGTGCTCAGGCTGTGAAAATATTACTAGAATAAGAACAAACTCGCATATTCTTCGTTATTTCGAAAACTTTCAGGTTTCCTGGATAAACGATTGCACGGTCAGCGTGCCCCCTCTTTTTCTACTACTGCTCTCCCCGCATCTTCGCCGCGCTGTTCTGAACAACTTTCGAATAGAGAAGCCACCCACTTTTGTTAGACCTGTCTCGCATACACTCGTTGGAGGCTAGCATTTTGTTCGGAGAATATAAGTAAGGGGTTCCATAAAGAAAAGAATTGATATCTAAAAAGTCATGAGTGTGGCATTGGCATAGAACTCTCTCGTCATACATGGTGTTATTCAGGGCATGACCATGGAGAAGAATATTCTGTACCAAGTTGTGAATGTAATTACTCTCTGGATGTCCGCAGAGTCATAAAAGACCTGATGTTCGGTTTGCTTAATAAAGAATCTGTCTATCAAACTTTAGTTGTCATTCAGATGCAAACATTTTTTCTCTGGGTGTTGGACAACCTGTAAAACAAACAACTATTCAAGTAACCAGTTTCACGCCCTCTCATGCGTTTAGCTATCTTTTCGTGCACCTTCAAGGCACTGTTCACGAAAAAATGGTTTCGGAGATCTGCACAAGGTTTGAATTCGACGCCCCTCTGATACCATTTGTGCAGGAATGAGGTCGGAAAACGGTCTGGATAGGGCACAATAAGGGCAGGAACAGTGGGGGACGGGAGGCCTCCCCCCTCGCTAGGCTGACTACGAAATCTGATTGCTGTTCATCACTTTCGCATTGGGCGAAGTTGTCTGCTTGGGTGTGTTGTCTGCTGTTGCAGACATTGCGTCGCCTTCCTGCACTCGCCCGAACACTCCCTTAACCGCCTTTCTTCCAATGTGAAACTCGTCCAACCCCCCTTTCCAGCTCTTTTTTGACCCTTTCTATTTCTTTTTGTTCATAGTTTTTTTGCACTTTTTTCGTTGTTATCGCTTTATTCTAGAGTAGTTCTATGAATTCCCGTAAAAAAAGGGTACCTTAAATTTATCGTAAACGGTGCCTTTAAACGTTTTGAGTTTCAGGACCGATAACTACTTTTGATATCACCAAAGTTAGTGAGAATGGCATTTTCGCCTTTCTCATTCTATTCTTCTCCACTTGGAGGAAATAGTTATTTGCTGGGTTAGTGCCATAAATGCATTTTGACGGTATACATAAACTGACTGAAACTGAATGCCGAACGGGTCTTCACGAAAAGAATCGAAAATATGCATTTTAATATTCGGTTCAAAATCTCTATGACGCTTTATTACCTCCTTATAAGCGCTGGTATTACCTGCGGCTGCACGGTTTCTTTGAGACGCAATTGTTATCGGAGACGGAGAGAAAACAAGTCAGTCAGTCAGTCAGTTTCTCGCCATCAGTCGTGCTGGACTTTTAGGTGACGATTCTGCAGATCATCAATGTATGCAATCGCTTGATTGTGGCTCTCGTTTACTGGATGGAAAACCTTAGTTTAACGGAACAATGATTGTAGCAATGTCGCAACCACTACACTGTATGTCGCGATATCCATACCATAAGTATGCTGGCATTCCTAACATAAATATGCTTTCATGAAGAGTTTTGGCAGACGGATAATCTCTGCAGCATCTGCCTTTACTATTTATCTCTAATTCTAAACATAGTTGAACTTTTGGCTTCATGCAAACCTTGCTGGAACCTTTACAAACTTCTTATTGTCAGAACAGTCAATCTTGGCATGCGACAGCAGATTCATAACTCCTGTCCCCGTTGATTTAGAGGTGGCAGGGTGAGAAAACTGATGATGGGTGATAGAAGGTGATAACAATTGAAAAGAGCTAATTTAACGCCTCAGAAGGCCAAAGCCGCAGGGTCCGCTACATCCTTCGTGTTAACGGTGGATCCTTGACACTTTCGCAATGTCGGATTTGTTAGAGGCACAGTTACAAAAAAAATTTTTCGAGTTGACCCTCGTACAAGGAATCTGTGGCATCTAAACATGCCGTATGTGGAGCCTTGGATTAAAAAATAGCCTATATAGGTGCAATAAGGGTTCGAGTGTTTACCATGTAGGTGCCTTAACCATAAGATGAGAGTTCTGACAACATTGTAGAGGCTGCCCCACACAGAAGGACCTCTCTTTTAAAATTTTGAAACATAAGGGACATCCTTTGTGAAACTTCGAACGACTGCTAATGATCCAAAGCGGCAGTGAAAGGTAGTTTTGAGCGTTTTTGATCAAAGTAGCTAGCTTTTAAACAATTGCACCAACTAAAATCTCAACCTAGTACACATTCCATTTCACCTTCAGCATTTCCGTTATGGTGTGAAGCCTTACATTTCACGAACTAGCCAATTTTTTTCCGTTTTCTCCTCCATCGACGCACTCTTTACCCTTCACCATGCTTCTGCTGCTCAACTCAAAAAGGAGAACACAAAGTAAATCTGAACTGTGCCCTCGACTAAGTCCCTTTACCATATCATCTATTCTAACACGATCAAATTTAAGTCAAACTTCTATAAAGCATACTGAAAAAACGACTCTCCTTAATCTTCAAAGATTGGTAATGACCTTCACAACAACAGCTACTGTTACATCAGTTCGCTTTGAACAACAATGCAAACAAAATAAATGATTTTTATAAGGCCAAAAAAATCACAATGTTGAAGCTCTCCCATCTCTGTACAGTAGTAGAACGATGGGATCAATATTACAAGGAAGGATAGGAGAAGCATAGACTTTGCACTGAAATGAGCCATTTTTGGTTGCTTTGACAGAATGAAGCTACATACGTGATGAAATCAAAAACAAGGAAACAATGTGGGTTACCTTCCAAAATTCTTCCATGCATTTTACTGGATTAACCAAATTCTTAACAAATATAACTATACTACCAATAACTGAATGATGGCCGTAAATCATAGTCAAAAAGTTTGTCGAATTTCCAAGCAAACCCATTTTTAGCAAAGAGTTAGTGGCCATTCCCAAAAAAAATGAATTAGCTAGTTAAACAGCCCTTGAAAATTTGCATGTTCATAATTGAATGCAAGTGGAACTACGATTGTAAAAAAGGGGTTTTGGGAGCACGAACTGACATCAGACTACAACAATATCACTCGTAAAAAACGTTGAGCACTTGAATGTCGCCCGTTGAGAAAGTCTGCGTACACGCGTCGGCCATACGACGAGCTGAGTTTGGGGGGACGTATGCTACAGGAGCTGAGCGATCTCCGTATCCGGATTGTGAATATGAAACGGCTTGAGCACGACCGCCACCACGCGTAGAAATGCGATATGGACTTCCGGGATTGAATGAGAGGGGTGGCGGACGAGTAGGACTGGCTAATAGTACCTGCAAATTAGTTGTAATATAAGAGATTCCCCAACTCAGAATGATTTTTGGCATCACCTCAATGCACTTGTCTTCGAATAGTCCCCGCAAATGAACGGGAATGAGATTTGAGAGTGTCTGGTGAAGTGCGGATAATAAACAGTGTGCTTCTTCGACGGATGACAATAGCAGCTCGTCGCTCATCGGACGTATTCCCCAACTGAAATCAAGTCTTTGCAGTTCCACTAGGCGAAATTCTACACAAGCAATTTCGCTTGTAAAAACTGATGTAAAGCATTCCGCAGATCTTTACAACTTTCGAGAGGTAATTCAAGATTTTCTAGGGAAGGTAATGAGGGCAAAATTCATCTTCACTCACTGTTGCATCCATGTTTCACAGAGCTGATTAACCGGGGAACTGATAAATAAGATATATTTGCAGATTTTCTCCGATTGTAAAAATTTTCTCGATGGTTGACGGTGCCGAATAGCAACAGTTAATAATTCGAAGCGATCGCAACAACTTCGAGCGACTGGGCAAACTTGTGTTCAATACTTCCGCCAATAATGAATTCAGCAGTAGCACACATCTTACCAAACACACCTACATTCATTACTTCAAATTATTGATGATTCAAAAGCCCTTTGGGTTTTTTTAACAATTTTTCGGCCTTTTTCTTTTGCCCAACTTGACACAAAAATTAGTCAACAGTGTAATCACTACGTAGTGACTGTACCCGGTAGATTGTTAGCCGAAGTATTCGCTGACCACTCTTCAACAATTTCAACTATGTATGAATGTCTAATTGGAGTTAGAACTTTGAGTTCGGAAAAGATTCATGTGATTTGATTGATAAAGGATCCAATAAAGCAAGAGTTCATTGATCAGGGATACCTTTTGCATTATAGACAAAGACTCGCAATTTTCGTGTGGATGTGGAGAGTAAAGGAATGAAGGAACGGCAAAACTCACTTGACTTATAATTTCTAAAACTCCTTATAAATTGAAGAATATAAAAAAAATAAATCTATAAAGATAAAACGGTCACGAGCAGCTGTTGTATTGTTAGCATTACTGTCACCGTTTATGAGCAAAATCTGTCAAGAGTCGGGTTTACTAAAAATGTTGTTCAAGTTTAAAGAGTTGCTGCTTGACTTTCACAGATGAAAGGAACATATAATAATGAGTCGTCACCAGTCAGAGAGAAGACATTTGTTCACAAAAGGAGTTTTAATGACAGTGGGCATACATCATAATGATTTGTAGTATCACACGGTCCGAGGATCGAGTCCCAGCAAACTAAGCTTACCATCCCTCTGAGGTCGATTAATTAGTACTAGACATGTCTGGGAAAATGAAAAGCACTGCCATACATAGACTGTCAACCCCAAGTCATGGCATAGCCACACGCGTAGTCAGAACGTCACTATTCTGAATAAAAGTCGGATGATTATTGTCAAGGACTTTATCCCGTCGCCGTTCAGGTATTGAAGACTGAATGACTCAGTCACTTCCAGGGCTTCTTCCTTAAATGTGTTGTGATCAGAAATGTCGAATTTTTTATACATAAAAGGGGAATGTCAGAATTGGTCAGGCATTTCGAAATTTCCCCCAAATGAAAATTAGGCTTTAGCCACACACTGCTGTGACACATTCCCCTCTTGATTCACATCATTAGTAGCGATTCTGGTGAAGCACTAGATCAAACGAAAATGTCATGATTCAATGAATAAAAGCGAGACATGATTTCTACACTTCCCTTAAAGGCACAGTTCACGATAACTTTGAGGTACCCGTTTTTATTCGAAAAGCGGAAGTGTGTATTGGGAATAGTTCATCGGTAGCGAAGAAAGCGAGATAATTCGTCGATTTCGAGAAAAATACGGCTCTTCGAAAGTAAGGAAGTCCCTATGGATCATGACAAGTTGTTTGAAATTCCTACATGGCTTCTCTTGTGATCGGTGCAGCCGCTACAATGCTGGTGAAACTCGTCCAAAGGATACACACGGGCCAATCTTCGAGCCTTTATAACTTCCTAACTAGGCTGTTCTCCGACCTAATAGTACCAGACATGGTCTACGCAGGGGCCTCAAATTCATCGTGTAGGAATCTCAGAAACCATTCTCATAGTGAACTGTACCTTTAATTATGCACGTTTAACATTCACCAATATAAGAGGAATCACCAGAATTTGAAGTAGCCCAAATCAAAATATTGTTTTTTCTCCAATAACTTTCTGACAACTGTGGAATAAAGTAGCGCTGAACAACTTTCCTAATTAACTAGATGTAGCCAAAGTTTTTTTAGGCAAGTTATATAAGTACGTCCTGGCTGCAATAGCCTACCTAATTACTCTTATAAAAGGCCAACTTACTTGGGTGATTGACTGAGTTTCCGTGGCGTAACATCACTGAGCATTATTGACTGTGGATAATATACTCGCTGGAGGTTGACAAAGGATATGGAACGAAGATCATGGAGCGGTTTGCCGAACTTTTCGTGCTGCAGGACGGAATGCGCTACCTGACCATAAGAATATCAAGGTTGTCGTCGACCAATTTCGGAGGAATGTTTCAGTGAAACTCACTTGTGTATCAAAGACATTAACCATATGTACAGCGTACTTGTGTGCAAGGAGAGATCCGACACGCCTGGCGTCGTGAATCACCTAAATTCCTCTTCAGTGTTGCTTATTCATTACACCGAAGTTAACATTCTGAGCTTTATAGAAATATTCAAAAAATCAAGGAGCTACGGGTAGGGCAAGATAGACTATCTATGAAACGTGATTGATCAATTCCGACCATTCTTGCAAGAACTTCACCATCAGAACCAGTAGGAAATGTAGGAAGTACACATGTCGTACCTACTTTGGTGTTCAGCAAGCCATAGTACTGTTGCCTCTATACATATTGGGCCTTGGGCCAGTATGATGAAGCCTTTTCTCACAGAAGATAGCTTTTTTGTACATATAAGAAAGGTTCCAGCATCAGTCCACGGATGCTCCTTTAAACGAGCTTTTTGCTTCCTTCTCTCTTTCGCAGTTACCCTCTTTCCTCTAGTGAGGCGTGTATCACGTTGCAACTCTGGCTTCATCCTCAAATTTTTTCAGATTGATGTTTTTTCTTTTTTTCTTGTTGTTTTTAGGAGACCACCGCCTTTCGTTTCTGCTTTTGTGTTGTATGGCACACCCTTTGGTGCATTAAATAAATAAACAAATAAATTATAGCTGAGCCGTACCTTTGTGATCTTGTCGCTTTCGAGAATATCCCTGAGACCACTTTCCATGATGATTACATCGCTTGAGGCGAGATCGAATACACCAATCTGCGATTGGGTTGCGACCACACCTGAACAACCACTTAAAGTTTTAACATAAGAGAAACGGGAATATGACATTCCCTGATAACAATTTTCGCCTATGTTTCCTATCAATATTACTATCAGTATGTATGTCGAATCTTTACAGTTGCAGTCTTATGCCAGCCCCGGAAGCTCCCCCGATTCTGAACTTTCACACACAGCGTTCGAAGCTCCCAATGAACCCAAACCCACCAAACCCAAAAGCTACAGGAACCTATAATTTCCAACTTAAGAGAGGCTTGATTCTTTGAGAGACGGCTTCGCCGCATTTGTTAGCCGTTGCAAGCATGTTGAGGAGTGAAAACAAGCTTCTATGGGGTCATCTTACTGACATTGCTGGGGAAAAGGTGCCGAGTCAAGAACCTTAGAAGTCGCTTGAGTCACAGTGACTGTTCAGAGTAGATGGGAAGTTTGAAACTGGTTTTTGGAACTCAGTAGCAGCTTTTACTTGAGCTTCTACGAAAATAGCATTTCTCAGTGATCTTTAGACATGACGTTCAAATTGCAACTGTTGAAAGTTCTGATTCATAGAAAATGAACGATTATATGTACATAATCACTCCGTTAGAATTTTTTACCTAATTAGGAGCTTTACTCGGAATACTGCAAAGCTATGATGTGTAAATTAGCACCCTACTTGAGAAGAACTATCCGTTCCCCTTGGCACATTGAAGTGAAAATCAATTTGAATATCATGGAAAAGGTCCCAAATACCAACATAGGGAAAGGAAGAGCTCGCCATCGATGCCCACAGTGACTGTCTTGAAGTCGAGTCCAACGACTTTACGTTCCTGATTGTGGATATCTTGTAACAGCCGCTCTACAAGCTCCTAAAAATACAAAAAATCGCAGGATTTCCATAGAGCTGTAACAACATCCTAACTTGGATCGGCCTGTTTTCACAAATTTCATTTCTGCTGAATCACTGAGGCTTGCTGACATCAATTAGGGATCATCTCCTATTGACCGAAGCCTTACATATTCGACTTTGAGAACTACGTTTCAAGCGCTACCGATCACTTCCCCGTTCACCTCGTGATCGTCTCGGTTTCACCAAGTGGCTCAAGACAGGACCCTGCGCAGTATATTTTGTTTCTGGACCTTACAAAGCGGTCACGTTCGTCGAAGAGCGTATACCACGGTTTGTATACAGTAATAATCAAGTATTCTGGGCCCTATCAAAAGAGCACTGGGGTTAAAAACCGACGCAACAAATTCTTAACCGATCGTCTTACCTGAGCAGGTTTCAAGGCTTTCACAAAGTGAATACGCGCCAGAGCATTTTGGTCCAGAGGGAACACGCTGTTGTTGTTACTTTCCAGATCACCTTCATCCGAGCCATTCTCACTTCCATCCTCTGATGGACGATTCTTGACTAGGGTTACCTGGAAATCTTTTCGTACAACTCTGCTCATAAGGACTGCGAAGACTCCCCAGTACCTTGTTACTTCTGATGAAGAACAATCCGCGGTTGAGTTTAAGAAATTGCAGCAGCTCCTTTGGATTTGTTGCAACGTCTTGACGAATAGAATGTGAAAATCGCTGACAAAATCGTTGATAGAACACGTCCAGAGGGATCGGCTGATCTTCGTTCTGAATAGAAGAGATTCGCTCTCTCTGCTCGGATGAAAACAATCTAGTCATTAAAATCGACCAGTTCTCGATAGCTCTCCTACTTGTTTAACATTTGTGCATAGTGTGGAGAACATTCCCAACGATAAGGCGACCAATTTCATGGATTTAGTGAACTTATGAATTATTTTCCCGCATAACTGATGAGAAGGAACTTGAAAACCTATTGAGGAGCAGCTATGATAGGAACTATTCGAAATGTTCTGTGCCCCAAACTGGCTTATGATAGAAGTGATTTAGAGGAATGTGATTTTTGCAAAAAAAAANAAAAAAAAACGCAAAAACAGCTTCCTCCGGCTTTTTTCTCGAGGTATTTATCCTTTTACTATTTTGTTTCAGGAAAAGCCTTGTCGTACCTGTTCAAGAACACTCTTCAGGTATTCCACGGCTGCTTGCTTCGCTTTTACCCCTGCTAGTGGCTTGCCTTCGTCGTCCAATTCAATGGCATTGTCGTCCGGTTCAGGCATATTCTGAAACCCACTCACTAGCAAATTTGTAATAATAGGAAGAGGTTCCTAGGTTTCATGATAAGGTGATGAGGGGTGACAAGTTTTACGGAACTTGTTTGTGTGGAACGCCTTCTCCGCAAAAAAATCGTGGTTCAGGGGTTCACATCAGTTTTTTGATGGTCTCAACGTTTAACTGTGAAAAAAGTTAATCTGCAGCTGTAAGCACTGACCTTCAGACGTACGCGATCGCCCTCTACGACGAAGTATTCAGTTTGCGACTGCAAGAACTCACAGAACTCCTTCAAATGACGACCAGAGACCAGTCGGACCTCCGGAGCAGCCTGTGAACGATGCCCCAACAACGATTTGATCTGAAAAAAATTGGGCGATAAACTTCCACAATCCAGAACAATGGCGCTTCTATGGGTTATTGAGTTTAGCTAGGTGCTTACCGCGCCTATTCTGTATTCGGAAACTGGTTTAGTTCACCGAAGTAACTTCAACCTATTTTATGAATATGTAGCCTCCATAATGGGTTCTAAAGAGTGGCCGTGAACAAAGCTTCAAAGTCATTCGTACTTTTTTTCACGTAAACCAACTCACAAAGTTCAGGGAAGAAAATCCGAGAAGTTTCACAATCGAAGCATTCAACTGAATTTTCAGAAGAATGTCTAGGGAAGGGGATTAGGACTCCCAAAGGATCATTCTCCGTTAGACCAATTGAATGTTTTTTTGTTAAAATTCGGTAGTAGTTGATAAATTTAGTTGATAGTAGTAGACATGGGGGCAACACCAAAATTGTGCCTTTGGATACAGATATCAAAAAGAAATTTGCTCGGAATTGAATATTTTTTTGCTTGAAGACTCCCCAAGTGAAGGAAAAAGAAAGCGAGTTGTCTACAGTAACTGAAATAGCCTCTTGTACTGAAGTTGACTTTTGCTAGCGTTGTACGAGAAGAAGACGAACAATCGTACCTTAGAAAACACCTCAGTCGTTGATATCACATCCTATCTGATGCTATTACCTAATTATCTCGCTAGGGCCCATTCCACTATATCGGTTATACGTTACCATGTCTCATAGGAAACACAGACCGCAGTTTTGTTATTTTCTCGATAGAACAAATTTCTGAGCTTAGTTGTTGATATCACATCCTATCTGATGCTATCACCTAATTATCTCGCTAGGGCCCATTCCACTATATCGGTTATAATAAGTCGTTGATATCACATCCTATCTGATGCTATTACCTAATTATCTCGCTAGGGCCCATTCCACTATATCGGTTATACGTTACCATGTCTCATAGGAAACACAGACCGCAGTTTTGTTATTTTCTCGATAGAACAAATTTCTGAGCTTTCAGCAGGCAAGTTGCATGTTACGCTACCGTTCCTATTATCGGTGGGGATAGGGCGCAATAGGGGTTGAAAAGCGGTTTCGAGGTCGCGCAGTCCAAAGTGTAGCACCTTTGCAAGAAGTGGACCAGCTGATTGGCATTGGCGCGATTGAAACCTCGTCCAAGCACCACTTTGGTTGTCCCAGTCGCCTACAACTCTGGGGAACAACTTCAAATAATACGTTATTTTTCAGTGTTTCTGGGAGCACTGTTGACTTCTCCGCCACTGAAGTACTATTCTCCAATAACACCATCACCCTTCGACCCTATGTTGGTACATGAAGTCAGTGCGATTAGCAGTAGTAATGGCGTGGAAGGGGGTGCTGCCAAATTTTATACCCAACCACTCCCTTTTGGGTTGTTTTCGGCCACTATGGCGGCACTTATATACCGCCCTTTCCAGTGCCTGAATAACACTTCACATGTCTTTTGCTCAAAATCTACGCATCGAGGAAGGTGTCCCTAAGCAAATGATCGCTTTTTTCAGTATGAGTGGAACGGGACAGTCATTTATATAACCCTATGCCCCACTTCAATTGAGATGAACCACAGTCTATAGCGAAAGCGTCACAGGACATATGCATTACCTGTAGCTCGGGTCCAAACTTCGTGAGCTTCATCACGAAAAACTCCACGGCTTCTTTCTCGTAGTCCCGATTTCTTGATGCCGATTGTAGAAGTGGATTATTTTTCGCGGTGATGTCTCCAAAGCCATTCAGAATCACCTAAATAAGACATTTCTAACTTTTAAAGGAAAAACTTTACCAGTATTGAAGACACAAAAAAGTTATAATTTCCGGAGAATGTTTATCACTAAAGAAGTCTATAAATGAACGAAAAGGCTTTAACACGCCCTCTAACTGATTGTTTTCAAGTGAACAAGAATAGCGTGGAGACTCTCCTTGCCTTCTTTTTTTTTTACTATCTAACCGGCCCTTGTCACTTGTCACCTTAGACACTTCACAGGCGGTCGGTCTATTCTTAGATTCTAGCCCTAAATCAACCCAGGAACGACCTCGTTTGCTACTGAGAGGTTTGTGAGTAATGACTGCCATTCTAACAAAAAGACCAGTCTCCTTGTCAATGACCAAGCCGCAACAAGAAGTTGCACATAAATTACCTGCCCCATCTGAAGGCTCAGCAGATTCTCCGCTGCTGCGTTATCATGTTGTGAGTAAACCATCTGACAGAGACTCTGGTGGTCTACTCACGGCTGAGAGACAAAAAGCTTATGAGAAGTTTACTGATCATGACCTTAACCCGACAACCCGATGGCTTTTAGATGGATTAATGCTTTACCTAATCTGCCTTTTTGAAGAATTCGATTTTCCTAACACAGACACCCACATCTTCGCATTTTCTTCAAGCTTAACGTAATGTCAATAAAAAACACTCATATAGTAATCATTACCTGATCTCCCTCTAGAGTAAAGAGGGATGGGTGCTGCTGAAGAAACTCGGTAAGGCCCTCTTGAGTGGTGCCAACCGCATTTCGCATCTCTTCTGAGAAACTGGAAAATAACTATCTCTTTAATACTAGAAAATGCTAGAGAATGAATAAAAGGACCAGCTTCTCCCTTTACACGAAGGCTTAACAGATTCCGATTCCCCACACACTTATTGGCAACTAGGGTTTTTGTGATACATCACAGTCATCAGGAATGTTCTAATCTCTTTGAAGGCAACATATACAATGAGACGACCGTCTCGTGGGTTGACTTTAACATAAATGTGAACTGTGAAGGTAGCGAGTTGCCCGCCTAAGACTATAAATTGAAGGGTATTGCTGGAAACGGTGACGCGGAAAGCTGTTGTTGAATGTCTAAGCCAATGCCTCCCAGCTTTGCTGCAAGAAGTCACGCTCACACTGAGGGACATAGGGGTTCGAGCTGTCTTGCAACCCTGCAACAGCGACGACACTGAAAACTCATGACAAGGAATCAGTTGTTCCATTGAATTCCATTCTCCCATTCCCATTCCCTGGAAAAATAATGCGCAGTGAACAGCTGACTTGCCCATTGAACAGCGACAGGAAATGACTACATTTCATTGGGTTTCTAGTTTTAAAATATAGACTATTCGACTAAATATTCCTCTAGAGCCTGTTTTTAGTCCCAGGGTAGGGTTCTACGTGGGGATCGCTTTAAGAAGACACATGGTGGACTTATTTGTTGTGGGGCTATATCATACTGATCTTTGAAGATTTGAGGGTAAATTTCTCATCATATCCATTATTTTCCAGTATGTACCAACCCGCGAGCACCGAACTGACAGCTCAAATCGTGAATCGTTCGTCGGCCATTCTTCTGCATCAGATGATCCATGAAGAACAGCAACGCCATGTTCTTCGCTTCCTCCATTTTGGCTTACCTGTATAATCAATCGAACAATTGGAGAAACTATACAAGTCATACAATGCTAGACGACTCATCGAAAACAGGTTCTCGAACAACGACAACAACACATACGAATGCGAGAAATAACTACTTATGAGCAGTACAGAAGGCAAAGGAACGAGAGAGGATTTATCAAGCGACGACAGAACGCGACAGAGTATGTAAGCTTCAAATGGCCTGACGACCGCTTCTGACTCGAACTTGTCACAGACAGTAACAAGGCTCTGAGGAATAGAACTGATCTCGTAACAATGGCAGATGACAAGTCGGAAATACTAATGAACAAACACAATGTAAAAGGCAAAAGAGGAAAATAGACAGGATGAAGAATAAGAGAGGAACGGGACCAGGCAGAAATATGCTGGAGCGATAAGTTGTGCGAAAGAAGGAGTCTGTTCATGACGTAAAAAATTAACTGTCGCCTTCTGAAAAAAAATCTAGAGCACTGGGGCACTTGTTTGTACTACATAAACAACTGCACGAGAACCATCGTAGTTACATCGAACCGCTTCTCCTGCAAGGTGAATGTAATTTGTCAATTCCTTTCCTTTCCTTTTGTCAATTGATCACGAGAGTCTTCGCAGCTAAGCCGGACCTTTTTCCAGACCTTTTTACCGGGCGGGTGGGTAGAGGTGATTTCAAGTTCTCTTTTGCCACTTGAAAAATACAAAGAAACAGGCTGCCCACAGAAAAATTCAGCCAATGCTACAGTTGATTTAGTAGAAAAGGAATACAAGGTACAAAAAAGAATGACAGAACTATTTGGTGTCAATATATTTATTAGACTTGATGCTACAAAACGAATTGGACAACGAATTCGGAAAGAACTGTCAGTTGACAGCATCTTTTCAGGTGACAGAGGAGGAATGAAAGGCGAACTTTTTTTCTGTCGAGGTAGAACGTCTCAGTTCACTGTGAACTCTGCCAACTGCTTGCGCTTTATGACGGTTGTCAAGACGCAAAACAGGACACTTAACCCGTGAAATGGCACGAAATTGTTTTCGGTAGAAAACATGACAACTNCTTTACCTAATCTGCCTTTTTGAAGAATTCGATTTTCCAGAAACACAGACACCCACATCTTCGCGTTTTCTTCAAGCTTTACGCAATGTCAATAAAAAACACTCATATAGTAATCACTACCTGATCTCCCTCTAGAGTAAAGAGGGATGGGTGCT